CTGCACGGGGAGAACATGGAGACTCCACGCAGCCCCGTTTGGGACTTAAAAAGGAAAAATAGAGCAAAGCAATTTGATTCTGCCTTTTTGAAAACTAGCACCAGTGCATGCACACAGCTCTGGTCACGGCCCGGTGGAAGCGCCGTCGACGGGAAATCTTTTGTGTGAAATCCGCGGCTGAATCGGCGTACGTCAGCACATAGCGCACAAAAAGGCGCTGGATAGTTTTGCGCTCAATAATTGAGAATGTTCTATTATTCATTACAAAGACGTCTCTGTCTTGACGGCGCACAGTTTGCCCAAAGTTGTACAAGTGTTTTATCTTAAGCACAAGTTAATTATGAAAGTTCACCCAACAGAATGAGGTTTAGAAAAAGGGGAGAAAAAAAAATAAAACTTTCATGTATAGAAACTTTAAATGAGAAGTGGAGTTGGAGCTCTGAGTACTTAACATCACAAACAGCTCAATCCCTTGAAGCTCTTGCATCAGTCAAAAGCCCCACCAAATCCTCAGTGTTAGACATGGCTTCCTTCACCTGCCTAACAACTGTGAAGCAGAGAGAGAGGAGAGGAGGGAGGGCGAGACAGACAGACGAAATGAGAAAATAAAAAACTTAATGGGAAATATAGAAGTCCTGATGCTCCTCATTAAGTCTCTCGCCACATCTGTGTGTGACGGCGTTTCATATAATTCGGTGCAGGCGTGTCTGCTAATCACCGCTGTTGTTGTGTTTCCTTCGTCTGTCCGTCCAGCTGAGCGCTCACCGGGGCGGATCGGCGGCGGCGGCGGCGGCGGTGGTGGTGGTGGGGGGTGGACGTGGAAACATCAGAGTGGGTTTAGATCTCCCGGAGTGAACAGATCTGAGCGTTTACCTTGACACATTATCTGTGAAGCTGCTCGGCGGACAGCTCTCTTTGGATTAGAAATATTCAAAGCCCAGACATCCTCTGCAGTAGATTTCCAGTCCGTCTTTTTTTGCTGCCAAAAATTGTTTACCAAGACAAATTTAAAACAAGAAGAAGAAACAAAGCGGCTGAGAAAACACAGAAATATGCGGCTGAAACGCTTTAAAACCTTGAAAGCATGAATTGCCAGCAGACGAACACCTCCACCAGCGTCCCTCCAAAGCTCAGCATGCAGGTGGATGTTCACACACGAGGCCATCAGAGCAATTAGCAGCAACTCGTCCTTTTGGCTTCAGCTTCAGGAAAGTGTGACTGTGAAGGCAGTGATACACTAAACTGGCAACCCAGACACTCTGCCAACAACAATAACTGTTTCACGTAGGCCTTGACATAAATAATAGCCGACCCCCTCGCTTCCCAAATGAGTTTGGAATTAATGGGGTTTTCTAAAAAAAAAAAAGAAATCTAGGTTCGCCTGCCTCCCCCTCCGTGCTGCGTGGAAGAGCTCGGTAAATATCGAGCCGGCGCGGCGTCGAGGAAGGAGAATAGTAGATGAGATGCAGGGCTGTGTTGGAAATTAATCTTTGGAGGCATTAAACCTTCTCTTCCTCCTCTCACACATCCCCCAGCCCTCCAGCTCTTCGATTCTTCTTCTTTTTTCTCTCCCCTTTCCTCTGTCACTCCCACCTTGCTTCACGTCTCTTTCTCCGTCTTTTCTTCTTGCTTTGCTTTTTTTTTTTTTTATCCTTAAGTAATCTGGGTTTCGATGTATTCTGCTCCCAAAGTGGAAGCATTAACTGGAACCTGAGAGGAATACTCAGACATGATGGGAAATTCACTCGCCCAGCTCTGTCCAAATTTAACAAATCCCATGTTTCAGCACCTCTGAAGCTCAGCAGCATGTTATATCTTGCTTGTTAAGAGCTTGGGCTGCTTCTTGGATATGAGAAAAAAGAATTAATGGAGTATTGATGTCACGGTTGGTGAGAAAGCTCCAATTTATCTGTCAGATAAACTCGTAAAAACAAAAGCACACATTTAGTTTTTGTACAGAATAAACTGGTTCTGGTTGATTAATGAGCTACGAGAGACGCTGGTCGGCAGGTTGAGTTGCTTTCCAACAGAACCGGGCTTTCTGTTCTCCTGTTTTCCTCATCCATCCCAAACTACTGCTTTCAGCCGAGTAGGGGTCAACCAATTATCAGACCCGACCAATTAGCGGATCTGATATTCGGTGGTTTACTTTAACCGATTTCAGATAAATTCATTTAAAAATGCGCCGCTTTAGCTCCGACGCGGCCGCCGCTCTCCTAAACGCGGTCACCTCTCCGGTCGATCCGATTGATCGTGTGTCACGAGTAACAACGATCAGCGGTAAAAAAAATATCGTTTAAAAGTCCTCTTTCAATTAAACATATTATAAATGTAAAAGATAAACAAACCGGGCTGATTTAAGGAAGTTTTGCATGGATTCCTGTCAGAGCTTCATTATGTGTTGAAGATAAAATTGAGCCCTGAAGGAGTTTTTTTAATGAGATATTACTCAGAAACAAAAATTACACAACATTTGTAGACGTAAGAAATAAGACGTAGCTATGACACATTACTAATAATAAAATACCTGAGCTATATGTGCACATGTAGGCTTCTAAATATTGGTTGTTTATCTCAGTCAGGTTTAACGAATAATCAATATCAGTGCTTATGAAACCCTGTTGGTCAGTCCCTCGACCTGCTGCTGATCACTTCATGTGCAGGAGCATAAATCAGACGCTCTACAAATCACACATGCAGGGTTTATTATAAAAGCTGGCTTGTATATAATAAAAATCCGTCGTGTTGCGGCTGTTTTCCTCTCGCACACAAACAGCTGCAACACGGGCCGAGACTCTCAGATTGATATTGAATCACAGAATGGATTTACGGAGCAACTGTTAACACAAGACTCTCCTTCCTCTCCCCGACAGTTCTTCATTGTCCTGCTGATAATTCTTCTGGCGGAGCTGATATTGCTCATCCTGTTCTTTGTGTACTCAGATAAGGTAAGTTGATTTTGTTTTCCGTTACAGTTTACGTCTTGTATTGTTAGCGATCCACTTGCTAACATTTTCTTTATGCAGCCAAACAGTCGGCCTCAACTTATCAATTATATAGATGCACAATGCCGGGGCTGTGAGGCATGCGCTGTAGCTGGAAACCTTGGAAAAGTTGCTGTGTTGGAGTTTGCACGCTGTCTTAAACACACACACACGCACACACACACACAGCAGCAGGCACACATGCAGAAAGCAATAAAATGTGTTAGTGTGATAAACATATCCATGTTTCCGGGGGGGTCAGAGTTTCCTCTGGGAGCTTGAATGTCTTCATTCTGCCACTAACATAGCAGTCAAAGGTTAGGCCACAAAATGCAGCCCAATCCCCACCAGTTGGCTCCCTGTAATTAGCCCCGAGCACATTTCCCATGACCCGCCGAGCGAGGTCGAGTCAGGTGAAGCTCCGCGGGGTGACAGCAGATGACGATATGAAAAACTCGGGGTATTACTTACATCCACGAGCAGGCGAGATTCCTCACCGCCTTTAATTTAATCGCACAAATGTTTCATCCTGAAGACGACGAGCGGCGCGCAGGACAAGCAATGAAGACTTCTATCTGTTTTCAAGGACACGTTGTTGATAGATCTGTCTATTTATATATTCGAAGTCTGGATGGCGCGCAGCCCCCGGGACATCGGCTAATTCTCCCGCTTTGTTCTGAGGTTATTGCTCAAACTTAGTCTCTCAGGCAGATAAAGGAATTCATTTAGAAGCCAATCCATTCTCAGATTTGGATCAGGTCTCTCAGGCACACCCTGTCAGGAGTAAATATGTCTGTTGCCTTATCACCAAAATATTACCGGCTTAACTTTGAGAGAGAGAGAAAAAAAAAAGAAGAAGAAGAAACCCTCCCAACCCTGATCCCTCCGGTGGAATTTAAATAGAGAGCCTCTTGACTTCACAGCAGTGCTTTCCCATCACCTGTGAAGTCAGAAAAAGATAGCAAAGTGGGGCTGAGGATTTCTTAAATGAGAAATCAAATGAGTCTGCATTAGTGAAGGATCGAGCGTCGCTCAGCGAGAACTCTCTCATTTCCACGTCTCATTCACAAGTTGCACCGTGTTTTGTGTTTGTCCTGTCTTGCCAAATTACAGTGTGATTATCTCGGCGTAAACCTAATGGGATGTGAAACCGTGATAACGCACGACGCTGCCAAATATTTCCCGTTGTTGGTCTTCGGATGTCATTGGGATGGAAGGACGATACGGCAAATTACATGTTAGTGGAGATGGCATTTCCAGGCGAGACGAATTTAAGCAGAGTGTGTGGGGCTGCTATTCAAACAGCAGTATATGTTAAAGATTGTTAGGTTTGGATGAAGGACAATCGGTGTCTGTCACACCAGGCCTTCAGCTTTTTGGTTTTTCCTCTGCTCTTGATTTGCTTTCCTCCAGCGAGGTTTGGCATGCTGTGTGAGGCTCCCCTCGTCCTCCGCTACAGGCTGTGATCAGAGGAATCACTAATTCACTTCTCCTATTTGATCTCCTAATCACAAGGCATTTATTAACAAGTATGGAAGACATACAGTGGCTGGCAGCTTTTAACGTGAATCGACAGACGCCTGCAAAACAGATTTTTTTTTTTTTAGTCTTTCAAATAGGTCATGACTAAGTCAGGACTAACGGCGAGCTGTGATCCTTCAGGGTGACGAGATGTCGATGAGATGTGGGGAAGATGCAAACTCACGGCGTCTCATTTTGCTGCAGGAACGCATTCCTTCCATTCAGGCGTCTCGTCTCTCCTCCTTTTATTTCTGCATTTCCGCCAGTTTAATCCTGCTTTAGAGGCACTGCTCTTTCTTAATTGAGAATTTCTCTCTCGTCTTCCTCGCCCCAGCAGTCTTGCCCGCAGGTATGGCTTATGTGTGGGTACTCCCTCTTTCCTTTCCACAGCCCAGTGGTGTTAAGCTCTCTGATTAAATGCCATGTAGAGGCCGTAGTATAATAAAGGCTGGCCCTGCAGTTAGCAACCAGCTGACTACAGCAGATGGCTGGGCCACAAACCAGATTACAGCCATCCGTCTTTAACGCTGTGACCTCATTGTGCCTCCGTCGACCCAACACGCTGAGCTGAACACCGGTGAAGGTTTATTAGCTCGGAATGAGGAAGCAGAACCTGGAGAGCAGAGACAGGAAGCGCCGGAGCATGTGCATATACAGGGATGTAGGGGGGGAAAAAGAAAATGCAGGAGGGGCAGAAAGTAGAGAAGAAAAGCAAGTGGACAAAGGTGAGAGGAGGAAGGAAAATGAGATATCACAGCCAGGGGTGGCAAGAAAGATGAATGTGTTATGTGCAAAGGTGTTGAAATACATAAAAATAGTCCGAAGAGAGAACAAAAGAGAACAAAAGTGAGACGAGGTGTCGCTGCAAAGTGGTGGAAGGAGAAAGGCGATGATGTCACGGAGGAGGAAGAAGACCAGTTCAGGGATCAGCGAAGGCCGCGACGCGTTCCCGATCCGTCTTACTAACGACCCAACACGTCCAGCTGTGTGTAGCATTTGTGTAAAGGCAGAGCTGTGCTCAATCCCTGACCGTGCATTATTTCTCCAGACCAATTACAGAGAAGGAGCGGGGGTCTTCCCATGGCTCTGGCGAGCGCCCTGGCCTCGGGCTGCCTAACGCAGACTTGCAGAGCAACTGAGGGAATGAAGTGTCCTGTTTAATGATGTGCTGTTGGGGACCTCTGGCTCTGACGCCGTTTGTCTCCCACATCATTTATTACACTTCCAGGGCAGTAAACGCTCTCGTCCGGAGCCACGCGACGGCAAAATACTGTCGTAGCTTCTTAGATTGTCAAGAGTCAAAGGATTTGACAATTAAAGGCGGCGTGCCCTGGTTGTCCGTGGTCCGATAATGATCATGTGCGCGAGGAAAAGAGCGCTAATGACGTTTGAAAGAAGTTCAGCAGGAGGAACGAACTACATGTGAAAGTCGGATTGTTGACCTGAGTTTATCTTCTGAGAGCGTCACGATGGAAGTCGGGGTGTGACTGTCGGTTCAGCTCTCAGCTGACTGGAGACGAGCCAACCTGCTGCAGAATAATTCGTTTCATTCACAAAACCAGCAGCAGCTAGTTCTGGATTGTGCAGCTTAAAAAGACTTTCATAGCGAATAATCTCAGGATCGGCGTTATTGTCGTGATCACAGAGCCTGTTTCAGCTGCGATGTGAAGTCGTGTCATTAATTCATCCAGAGAACGAGGATCAAAAGGGACGCGACCGCACCGCTGTCAAGTCAGAGCTGTACGAACAAGCCGTCGTTCTTCTTACAAAAACCCGCTCTGTTCATGCGATGTCACATGACCTGAACACAACCAGAACCACAGCTGGTTGTGTTACGACATGTATGTGTCAAGAATCCGCCCAGGTGTTCCAGGTGCTCGCTGAAGAACAGGAAGAGGTGTTAAAAGAACCTGTAGATACTGCCTGACTTCAGATTGTGTAATGATGAAGGTGTCGTTTAAAGAGACGCATCCACTGATAATTATGATAATTGCTGCCTGATTCTGCGTCTCTGCTCAGGTCCACAGAGCATCATAGGACTTGAAACTGTTCTGGTGATCCAACGTGCTTCATCTGGTTGATTTAAGACGGCAGGAATCTCAGAGATCTCCTTCAGGAGCTGGTGGAGATGAAAGCAGAGCGAAAACAGAGCAACATGTTGGTTTAACACTTCTACTTACTGACCACAAATAAAACTTTATGTGAGGTAAAGTGTGAATGGGCGTCTTTACGGTAACACGTGCACCATTTTCACTCCAAAGTTTTGTGTTCAAAGCTCTCTTTTGCTCACAAGTTACCAAAAAGATCAGATCCTGCAGGTCTGAACAGAAGCCGTCCTGGTTCTGCGGTGCTGCTGCACAGCTCTGGTCTCCAGCACAGAACCAACCAGCCTCCTAAACACTCCAAGTTTTTTAGTTTTTCACTCCGGTATGTACCATTACCTTAGCCCATCTGTGAAACCTTTCATCACAGATGGTGGGTTTTTTCTTTTCGTTTAGCCGGAGTGCTAAAATGTTTACTGAACCGCCTGCATGCTACATTGATTGTTGCTGTTTTTTTGTTTTCTATGAAATCGTTCTGCAGAGACTGTGATTCATCTGGAATTAAACGCTCGAATCCTAATTGTTCAAAGTGATAAATTAAAGTTGGGTAAATGCGAATGAAACTCCCACAACTGAACCGCTCTTCGATGCACCTCCTGCTATAAGCTGGGTGTAAATCCTCCTCCTCGGCCTCCGGCAGCCTTCCCGCCGACACACCAGTTGTTAGCCAGTTGTTCTCTGAAGCAGCAGGAATCTGTCGCCTACATGGCAGATGCGACCTTTGCTGTCTGACCAGTGAGATGTTCTGGATCGTGCTGCATATTCACCGACGAAAACATCACTTTTTCAAACTGGGGCAGTCAGCGCTGTCGTGGCTGTGTACTCTGGTAATGAGTCCTCGGTGCAGTTCCACGTCTGCACAGTGACAGGTCTCAGTGTACCTGCTCCCCCGGGTGCTGCCATGTCACCAGAACTGGGGCCCAGTTCTGACAGAAGGGAGTCCTAACACTGGAAATCTCTCCGCTGGAATCCGGGGAAACTTTTGATGAAAACAAACCGTAATTTCGCTGCGATGCTCGGTATCATTACAGCGTTTTAAGCCCCAGACAGGCGTTTATCAGACGATCCGCCGCCGCCCACTCTCTGTTCTGCTTTAGTGACAGAAAACACACAGAGGTTTGGATAGAAAACCTTCCTCCGCCCTGTCAGCATGTATATCTGCTTGTCTTTCTCTGTTTTCTCCATTTCTTCCGTTCGTTTCCGCAGCCGGCCAAGCTGAACCCTTTTAGATTTCCCGTGATGAATGTGCTGTCCTGCGCTGCCGAGCGGACTCGGTCAGGCCGCGGGAAACCACAAGTTTATCTGTGTAATGAGAAGTATGAGCCGCGTCTCAGGGCTTTGTCAATACGCCACACAAGAAATATCGCGTTGACGCCTGGCGGTGGCATTCAAAGAAAACTTGGCAGGAGTTGGAAGCAATCACAGTATGGTGTTGGTCTTATATTTGTGAAAGCTTTCCAGTAGCAGCAACGCGAGCTTCAGATAAGAAGTTAGTTTTCCTTATCAAAAAAAATAGGCTAATGCAACACAGATGTGTTTTTATCTGCTTCTTTTGCGAGGAGAAAGTGGGTCAGAGTGTTGCATGATCAAATCCCTGTTTGTTCTGTACTCATTTGTCTGCCTCTCGTTAGCGGTAAATCTGGATCATTAAGTTTCATCTCAGGCTGTAACAAAGACTTCCACACATGAAATGGAAGATGTGCAAAGACTTATTGAAGACTCAGAAGATGATTTTTATTGTAATAGGGAGGGGGGGAGGTCTGCTCTCTAGTGACTGTGCTAGTGCGAGAAGTCAGTAATGAGCGAGCAGCATCACATCCAGCCGAGACGGAGACGAGAAGATAGAAACAAAGTGAGAGGCAGAGATTGATGCTGCTCGTCCTCATCTCGTTTTCCCGCACGAGGATGGATATGGCGAGGCCGGCGGGCCGAGGTTCAGCACACGGATCCTCCTCTGCATCAGCAAACGTACGGAGCGACGAGGAAGGCTGTGGTTCCAAATGATACTAATCTCATTTCAAAGGTTTTAGAGGATGCTTTAAATGGGTTTTGCATGATTAAAGATTACTAAAGCATTTTATTGCCACAGAAACTTTAATTACTCAGTAAAAATTCAGTTTGATTTTCTGGTTCTAATTCAGCAAATAGATTTTGAACGCCTCGCAGCTGAGAAAACAAGGGTTTGAGGCTTTTCATTTCTGCTAATAAATCGCTGAACCACTTAATTTAAAGTTTAATGCAGTTTCCTGTGTATACAATGCGGTGTACAGAATAGAGGCTGAGCTGCACAAGTCAAGTGGCATTAAAATTGTATTTCTTCTATAAAAACCAGACTGACATTACCCACCAGCTTCAATATCTGTTATTTTTTTAACTGAAGGATTTATTGTGCAGCCTGCTGCTAACACTGTTTAGCTGAACATCAGTCTTTCTCTATGAGCAGAGAAAGTGGAGACGAGCTGAAAGCACCTTGTTGTGTCAGTACGTGACAGCCGGCAGAACGCCGCTTCTCTTATTGTGTGCAGATTTTTTAAAATATATATTCCTGGGCACATTCGCAGCCTGTTACCGTCGAGGCAAACGTGTTGCGTTTGTTGTGATTTTACTCGTATCGCCTGTGAAGCCGTGCAGCACGGTTCCGGCAGCGCGCATCATTTTTCCAGTCATAATTACTGCATATCTGAAGCGCCTCTCAATCTGTCCTGGCAGTTAACAAATCCCCGCAGGCACAGCAAACTGCAGGAGAGCTGAAGCTCTGATTTTGTATCTCATTAACACATCCAATGAGATATTAATCTCCATCAGACATGGCACAACCCTGAGCACATTGTTGGGGTTCAGTCAAGAGGAAAATGATTTGCTAGCACCGCTGAAGGGCGAGCACGCCGAGGAAGGCGACGCACGACGTGTCAGGCGTCGCGTAAAAAGTTCAAGTGACTGTAGCAGAGTTATTTTTACATGACAGGAAGTAAAGGTTACCTGTAACGGAGTCGTGTGTTGTTCTGTGTGTATTTACGCTGTCGTTGTTTCCAGATACCTGCGTTCTGCTTTCGTCGTGATTAGTCAGTTCACAGAAGAACAAAAAAACAAAGAAAGAAGCCCACGATCAATCACGCACAGACATCTGAAAGCACTTCGCTGCACATCATGGACACAAGCGTTATTATTTACAGCTGTGTGAGAAAAGCCGCCGACGGTTTGAAAAGAGCAGAATTATGTGAATGCACTCGAGCTTCAACGAGCTGCTGCGGAAACTACAGAAACACTGTAATGAACGCTGAGCTGACTGATCCAAACCCCGTAAACCAAGGTCTCTAACTGAGGTTAATGTTTGCTTTTTGGTCTCCAGGTGAGTGAGAACGCGAAGCAGGATCTGAAGGATGGGCTGGCGCTCTACAACTCAGAGAACAACATCGGCCTGAGGAACGCTTGGAACATCATCCAGGCGGAGGTACGGGCCTCACATCGCCGGATCACAAACATTAGCATGAATGTTTAATCACGACACGACAAGTCGCACATAAATGCAAAGTTATACTGAAATATTCCAGCTAATGTGTTTCCTGGCTTGTTGCTGCAGGATTAATGTGACGTTGAAAGTCCGAGCCGGCTTTCTGAAGCACTTCATTCCCTTATTTTAGTGCTTTAAAGCAAAGGGGACTAATTACAACACGTTTTGCATTAAAGCTTGTTTGAGGTCTCCCCGGACTGACAGGAAGCATTAGCTAATCTTGTGTTGGACGTGTGTGTGTGTGTGTGTGTGTGTGTGTGTGTGTGTGTGTGTGTGTGTGACAGTGGAAGTGCTGCGGTGTGATAGCGTACACCGACTGGCACGAGGCCCTGAAGGAGAAGGTGGTTCCTGACCGCTGCTGCCAGGAGCATTACCAGAACTGTGGGCGTAACTCCACCAACATGTTCTGGAACAGGGTGAGTTCACATCGGCTGGGGTGCAAACGTGTTTTTGTTTTGTTGTTGTTGTTGTTGTTGTTGTGTGTACATTATGATACAACTAAGGCAGGACTACTGTACGGGCCTGCAGGGGACTCGCCCGGTTGCTTCTGTTTAAGGACTTTCAGCTCATTTCTTGTTGTAAAGTTAATCAAAGAGTCAAAAAACATCTACGGAGGGATGCAGAACGTCTCTAAAGAGGAACAAAACGACAGAATGTCAACAAAGACAGTCGACGCCACCACAAAGCGAAGCAAAGCGGCCGCAACACCATGCAAAATAACTACAGGCACAAAACCGACTAGTGAGGGAAGCAAAGCTGCTGCAAAGACAAACAAAGGGACCACAGAATGAAATGAGACTAAAGAGCGAAGGCAGTCTGGGTGTCTCCGGGGCCTTTAACATGTTTGTGCGATCATGAGCTACATCCATATGGCTGCACGCCGTGTTTGAAGTGCTTAAACATACATGGCTTTAAATTATAATTGTGTGGCTCAAAGACACCATGACTGAGTTTTTTTCGCTCCCTGATTCACAAGTGGCATGAAAACCGTACATCACATACATCTTTAGGTCCATCTGTTCGGTCGGTGCTTTTCCGAGCCCTTTGTGTGGATTTAAAGCGGCTTTAAAGTTCTCCTATTGTTGCAGAAATTCTGATTGCAATGGTTTATTGTTTTTTTTTTTTTTCCTATTATGCATAAGACAACAGCTCCTTCCTCAAAAAAAGCTCGCAGCACAATGTGCACCAATCTCCCCTCCCATTACAACTCTAATCTGCTATTGGTCTGGCATGTGGTTTGTTAGCAGGTCCAAAGTAGAGGATTAAAAGCTGTAATATAATTGCCAAAATGAGAATAGGCAGACACTGAGCTGGCCCATTGGGGAAGCTCATCACTAAAAGCTTGTGAGTAATCCTGCCCAGAGGAGACGGCCGCACGCTTTAAGTTTTCTTTTTTTTTTTTTTTACATGCTTGCTTCGGCACCGACACTCGAGAAGGGGGCACCACTTCACCACTGAAACCACCGTTAAGTTCTTTACCATACCGCCCCAGCAGCCAGTGACCTCCCAGTGAACCCGGGTGGTCTATAGGAGCACGATTACTGCTGCTCATGCGTCCCATAAGTCTGCATATAAAAGCCACCGCTCATGAGTAATTCCCTTGTTTTAGCGCCTCGCCCGCCCGTCTTCCATCTTACGGTGAATCTCATATGGAGGAAATGCTTTTTTTTCCTGTGAATGTGTGAACCGGACTGCTGCATTTCTCTAACAGGAGGAAGCTCAAAGTGCAACTGAAGTGACATGATTCTGCTGCCGCATTGAAAATGCACATTTTTAGTGGTATCCTTACGAGCTTTTGTTCCATTTCAGGGCTGTTTCGAGAAAGTGGAGGAATGGCTGGACGATAACAAGCATCTGCTGGGAACCATAGGGATGGTCATCTTGGTGGTGCAGGTACGGAGCTTAGTGCTAAATCACTCTTTCCCTCTCAATTTGTTTCCTTTTCTTTTTCTGCTCGGTGTCTGTCTGCCTGGCAACATGTTGGAAAAAACAAACAAACAAACAAAAATAACTTGTGCATCCAGTGGCCTCTGCTCCACCACGGTCGACGTGATGAGGCCTGTGCTTGGAGGAGGCGTTCTTGGCACCCACACATCTTGAAATATTGAAGTCACTGTCTTCTGCTCCCTGATCCTGTCTGGTAGAATCAAAGCTGTCTGGCTCGGTGCCGAGCCGGCTGTAGTCAGGTGTGAGGAGCCGTCAGCAGACGGGAGGAGAGCCGAGATGCTGAATGTGGAGGAGCAGTCGCAAATTAAAGGCTGGGCGATAGATGTTCCTCTCGTTTGGTCCTTAACTCTGCTTTACATCCAGCCCTCTTTGTAGAGTTAGCGTCTCTCTTTAGCTCTTCAGCTTTTCCACTTACTCGGTGCTGGTGGTGCTTTCAAAGCGTCTGCAGACAGAACAAAGCCTGAACCTGTTTCTGCCGAGCGTTTGTGGAAAATTTGACTGCGGGAGTGTTTTTATATGACGTGTTTATTCGCTGCAGTCAGCCCGAAGTACCGACGGTGACTGTAGTTAGCTAGAAATGAGCCGCGTGTGTGTGTGTGTGTAGGTGTGTGTAAGTGTGTGTGCAGACGCTGTGTTTGTGTGACGACTGATCTCTGCGTTCACCAGGAACTTCCTTTTCTACTTTTCCTCTCTGTTTTTTCCCATGTAGTCTCTGAACAATTATGAAATGGATCAGAGGGAAGTTTTCACTTCAGCTGAAACCTTTTTTTTGTGTTTTGAGGACGTGTAGGAAGCAAGACCCAGAAACATCCAGCTGGGCCTTTCTGAGTGGACTTTATATCTTCTCTGTGTGTGTCCAAAGACATGCACTCTGCTAACAATTGAAAGCCTCGTAGACGCCCTCCTGGTGTAGACGTGTGAGCGAGGATCTGCTGCCACCGACTCACAACCTGTCCGTGGCCTTCGCCTCACTTTGAGCGAATGCTTTCACACTCCTTCGACCTTGTAAATTCGCTGCACCAAATGTGCGAACAGATCTGTTCCAGCCTCCATAACAATGCTGTCAGTGCTTTTTCTTTCCTTTCCTAACTCAAATCAGAGTTCCATTCAGTCTCTAGCAATCCCCAGTAAGTGTTCAGTTTGCTATTCCATGAACCCAGAGCTGGGTGGCCTCACCAGGAAATGTCCCGTGTTGAGTTTTTGTAAGATTCTGCACATATTTTAATATCCTTGGGGGGAAGACGGTGCTGGAGCTTCAGTTAAAGTTCACGGCCACACCGAGAGGATGTCTGCATTATATATGACCAGGAGATAACACAGTGCTGCTGCTGGCTCACATGCGTTTATTGCAATCCACCACCAGCTCCGGTCATTCCTTTTTCCAAACACGCAGCGTGACATGTGCAGAACACTGACATTTAATTCTTACATTAATTTTAATGATCTGCCTCCACACACACACACACACACACACACACTGATTCGGATTCAGGTGAGGGCTAGGTAGGGAGAATGGAGAAGCAGACCGCCAGCTGTCAGATTAACAAACTGGAAGTGGAGGTGGAGGACATGACAATGAAGAGCATGTTGAAAAAGCTGATGCCCCACAAGCCTGCAGTTGTTACGCAACAGCCAGAGGCACTCATGAATGATTTAGAGGAGCTAGCGTATATGACAGACCTTAGCAAAAGCCTGCACGTATGTCTTCATCCACAATAGTTTTCCAGAAGTCGCAGCAATATTTCTATATTCTTAAGCAGGGATGGATGATTGAGCTTTGAAGAGTCCTGCAGGAGCGACTGTCACGGCGTCGCGCTTTGACTGAATGAAGCAGACAGCAACAAAAAAAGAAAAAAACTTTGGTCCTAACTCCCTCTTAGCTGGATGTTTACCTCAAATGGCTCTTTATGTTTGTGACTGACAGCAGCTCAAGGTGGCGTTTTCTCTTTAGCAGCTCTATGAATTAGGATTTTTTTTTAAAGGAGAATCAGCAGCTTTGAGTTAATCACGTGGCGTAGGAATCCCCGGTGGAGTCCACGTTGCCTTTTTTTTATTTTATTAAAAACTATGCACCATACAGTACTTTGCAGCTTCCCTGCCATGCGAACTTTGCCAGATAATGGTTTTAGGATGAGCCTTGTGACTGTGTTTGATGTGGGAGTATCAGGGGGTAATGGAAACTTCAAAGGGATCGCTGGCTACTTTGATTCAGTGGCATCTCAATTTACTTCATTGGCTTAATGCTTGCGTGCGCCGCTGTACTTTTTTTTTTCCATCACACAGATTCCAGAGCTCGCATTTTGAAGGCCATCTGAGAAAGAGGAGAAAAAAAAAACAAAATATGTGCCTCACCACAGGATTTATTGTGCATCAAAAACACAAACCAGCCCGAGGCATCAACATCAAATAGACACACACATGTTAGCACAGAAATAGACGCACACTGCGGAGACACACATGGACACAAGTTTACTATCTTCCTTTTTTCCCCTCGTCTCTCTGCAGCTCCTGGGCATGGCGTTCTCCATGACACTGTTCCACCACATCCACAGAACGGGGAAGAAGTACGACGCTTAGCCGAGGGCGGAGGCGCCCAGCGGAGACGAGCCCCGCTGCCTGATGGGATAAGACTCTGATTTAAACATCCCTGCTTCCCCCTCACTTTACAACCTCTTTAGAGCATCCTTTGCCCAGCCTTCTCCTCCCTCCCCAGACCTTCTGTACAGATCCCGGCTGTGTTCCCGCTCTGTTCTGCTCTCTCCTCTCTCACCAATCATTTTGCCAAAGAGTAACACAACTGGAAGAGAAGGGACACCTACTTTTGGCAAGGATATAAGAGAATCCCATTGTTTGTAACTCCTCTTGAGTACTCCTCATTTTTATTTTTTTATTTTCTTTGCTTGGACTAACAACTTGCTGGAAGGAAGGACGAACTCTTGAGACAATGAAGACTTTACTAATGCCCACACACCCCTCTGTCCAAGGCGAAGAGAACCTATGAAACTGAAGCAGCCTCCACCTCTCGTGGAGCTTTATTCTTCTCCTCGTGTAGATTAAAATCAATCCCCCTTGTAAATGAGAAAAAAACAAAAAAGATTTAACATGGCATGCTAGTTTTCTACTCCACTGACTTACCTTTGTCGTCAAAATGTCTGTTGTTGCCATTTTGGTTTGAAATTTCCAGCTTCTTCTTTCTGTTTTTTGGGTTGTTGTTTTTTTTTTAAAGTCCGTCTTCATGGCTCCTGTGGAATGTAAGAGTCGGACAGATCGGTGCTCTCAGACATGCAGGACTGTAAGGGTTGGATTTGACTACGACGAGGCGCACGATGGTTTTCATGTAAATCCACGGTTCGCATTATTTTTTTTCCCCTCCGGCTGTCGAGGTTTGGTTAAAGCGAGAAGCGCGATAGAGGCACGTCATGCAAGCGTTAGGAATCGTGAGTGGATTTATTTTCTACCAAATTCTGCAGTGTCTTCTGAATAACAAAGTGTAACGCACAAAACTCCCTGCAAACGCACACGTGTGCACGCACGCCTCACAGCGGCGGCGGCGTTCCCTGAGAGACGATACAAACGGTGTAAAATGGCTGTTTATTAGGGCTCCACCAGCGCTGTCAGCTGAGGAGATCTGGATGATGAAGGTCTTCCTTGGAGAATACAGTGTGTGTGTGTGTGTGTGTGTGTGTGTGTGTGTGTGTGTGTGTGTTCAAGCTGCAGAGGAAAAAATAAAGATAGAAAGAAATAAACGGCACACGGGAGCGCTGAGAAGCAAGGGCAGGAAGGCTAAAACCGGAGGAGACGTGTTGTCTCGCCGCTGCCATCATCAGCGTCAGCAGCCGTTCTCCTCCATGTTCTTAAGATCTCATCCATTCGCTCTGCCCTCCTCATTCTTTCTCTCTCTCTCTGTGGCTGTCAGCTCACCCCTGCCTCCATCCTTCTTCTTTACACCCTAATTTTCTCCCTTCATGTCAGAAAGCAACGAGTTTCACGCTCCGCACTGCGTCCGTCTCTGCTGACATTCCCCGCTCATTACGCTGTTGCACCTCCGGTTTTGCGACTTCTCGGTTTTTACGTAAGCTTCCTTTTCTTGCCGCCAAGAGACGAGGGGGTTGGGGGGGAGGTGTGAGTGTAGGCAGATCAAAGAGACAGATAGGTACGGCAACATACGCTGCAGGACATGTCGGTTTATGTCTTCTTAGCGCTGATTCGCTGCAGGAGGCCTCAGAGTGAAGCCTTCATCCTGGAGACGGAGAAACGCTCTCTATCTGCTGTGGTGACTTACAGAGATGCCCTCCAGTGTGTTTGCTCTTGGCTTCGACATCTCTGACGAGGTTTAAATGAAACAGCTCAATGTTAAAGGATCACTTTGAGCGTCATTAGGTTATGTTCGGTCACATGTTGCTCCCTCCTGAGTAAATGCATTTAGACATGTGAGAAGACAGCTGCATTATTTTAAGTCCCAAAAAACAAAAAAACAAGCAGTCAAGCCATCAGACAGGTTGTAAACAAGGCAGCGGTTCAACCCAGATTAGCTGCTTAATTCAGAGCGTGTCTGCACATCCACACCGAGTGCAGCGCAGGTCACTGCTGAATTAGAAAACCAGTTAGGAAATCCTAATGGATGTTTACGCCGGGCTGCTCGGTCAGTGGCTCCAAACCAGGAACAGCTCTGGTTGCATTTTAAACACAAAAGATCAAATCCACCAAGGAAGGAAAAAAAGACATCTGTCTGTTTCATTTCCGACGCTCATACCTTCCTCTTCTTACAACTCTCAGTCTTCCTATTAGTTGCCTCTCTGCCGTCTTGGTTTTTGATTTTCTGCCGCTGCGGCTCTGACTCTTCATTGTCCTCATTTGCCACACAGCCTGGCTTCCCTCCATCTGGCTCGGCTTCTGTTTGATTAGAGATCCATCCACTTTTATTGTTTTTGCACTACATGTTAGTGAGACCGAGCGAGCACAGATTGGCGGCGGTTGCCTTCCCTTAAGTTCAGGAGCCATTATTTAGGAAAGTTAGCCCAAACATGAAGGAAGAAAGTTTGGTTCTTCCAGTGCAGCACAAAGTATGCATAATGTGGACGTGTTTTAATCAGAACTCGCTGCAGCGGTTTGTCAGGAGCAGAGAGTTTGCACCGGTCCAGAGTTTACAGCCTCTACTGCCATCTCATGCATGGCTGCTGAAGCTGATTTTAGCTTCCACGGGAGCCTCCGATTAAACTTTTATGAGCCACAGAAGGTTTGCAGTGGCTGCATTCTGAAATTTTAACCAAAGTAATGATTGGTCCAAACCTCGACACTCAGACGCTGTTCATTTCTGCAAAGAACAGGAAGTGACCCATCGAGATCCGCTCGTTAGGCGTCTTCCCGGCCTGGCAGAACCTCAGACTGTCTGCTCAAGTCACTGTTGGCGTTTTTTTAATTGGTTTTCTGATTATTTAATCCGAGGGGCGGTTTTCGGGAGAAGAGGGGTTCGTGCATCGGGAAGCAACAAACTGGGATCTGTGATGTGCAGCGACCCCGCCGGCTGCGATACACTGTCTGCCCCCATATGCTCTGACTCCTCTTGTTGTGTCCACGGGGGGAAACATGACAGCTGCTGATGTACAGCACAGGCACGAGTGGTCACATCTCCTCTGCTTGGCTGCCTCTGCAAACTCTCTGCACAGCCCCGTGTTTAATGCCTCACTCTGCAGACACCTGGCGCTGCATATACAGCGGCTGGCGGTCCTGACACTTCAGCAATACAGCCGTGCTTCTTGGACAGCTCAGAGCACCTGTTGGGGTTATTCTGCACCCAGGAGAGGTTTACGGGCGGGGTGGCTGTAACGGGCCCGTAAATGGGATCCGCTCTGCACACAGGAAGCTTAGAGGGAACCTGAGATTTAAAAATACTAAAAAAAACAAACCTTCAGACGCCGAGGTCACAGAAGGAAATCGTGAGAATGGTGGAAATAAAACAAATCCAGTGTGTCTCTGAGTCTGACGTCACCCTTCAGAGACGCCGCCTGCAGACTCTTTGCCCCGACTGATCCGACTGTGCCGACATTCTGACATTTCCTCTTCGCTAAAAGTCCCCTTTCAGCTCCTCTGCTGCCACCGCCGTTTCCGTCAGCGTTCCTTTCGTGTTTGTAGGATGCAGGGATGAATGGCGTTTTAACAAAAAGCTGTTTAATGATGTTATTTTTGTACATTGGTCGTTGCTGTTTTAATGTTTGTTTTTATACGATATACTGCTGTTTCTCATGTCCTCGGCCCGTTTTTACTGGCTGCTTCTTCTTCTTTTTTTTTTTCCTTTTCATTTGTGACAGAGGCTCATTGTGGCCCATTGTGAGAACATGACACCATTAAGCATTTGTTTCTTAGAGGATTAGTCTTTGCAGTGTTCCTCTGCTAGGTGCAAAAATGCCTTTCTGTCTTAACACTGCTACAGGCAGTTAAATCAATTAAGTCAGAATTGATAGAGGGAGAAAATTTGGCATAGAGCATCGGGTGAAGCCCACAAAAGACATACTGCACGCTTGTCGTCGTGCTTCTCTGCATTAAGGTCTAGTTTAATTAAATTAGGATGTGCGGGTATAATCTGCAGTATGTCTTTCAAACTGCCGGTGTAAGGCCCATTATGTGTTTCTAGAGCATGATCTATTAGACGCCACTGTACAACAGAGCTCATGTCACTCCAGTATATCAGCCCTGTATGTTAACCCCACATGTAAATAGGCTCAGATGTGACTAACTGTTATTACATTTACATTGACAGCTTCATTTTCATAACAAGCCGCGCTGCTGTTGTTTTTTTGTTTCCTGCTCATTTACACACGTATCCTCCGCTCTACAGTTATCCATATTTTTCATGTTTGCTAGTTTTTTCTGCCGCTTTCAAGTCCAGGAGCAGTGTACATTTTATGTAAATTTGTGTTTTTGTCACTATGTTGTTGTTGTTTTTTTTCCTCTCTCTCCTATTTTATTTGACTGCATTTTCATCTTGAAGTGAAACAATATTTTTTCATGAATTATATTTTTGAAGAAGTTCAAAACACGCCCTCATCACATAGAAGAACTCCCAGAAGGACGCAGTAAACGAAGAGCGCACACGCAGCGATTGGGTTTGTCTGCCGTGATCAAATTTGAACATAGAAACAGGTTGGGTTTTTATTTTTAATATTTATTTTCTTTGCCACCTTCGACATATTATTTCTGTAATCTCCTCCTAATCCTTCCCCCGTGCTAAAGCTGAATATCTGAGCAGTGGAAATGTATGCTCTAGAAATGCTGTGTTTGATGTTGTGTTCTGCTGGGCGGCGCTACCTGATACCTGCCAGCCTTGTCCTGTGGAGTTTTACTGCTACACGTGAAAGCACTCTGAATATCTATACTAGGTGGTGCACTACCTTCTCTTTATTCTCCAAATCAACTATTTTTTAAATAAAGGAAAGAGTGTCACAAAACAATCCCACGACACCGTTCGCTCATTGCCTTTCGTGTTTAATGACTCGATGCTCCTGATGTGTTCCCTCTTTATGTCGCCGTCGGTTCTATGGGCAGCGTTTAGGCGCTGTTTGATTCTGATGATTCGGAGGAAGCTGCAAGACTTGGCATGAAGAGCAAAGTGAAGCCGCGTCACAGCAGATCCCACGGTGCGTTCAATGAAAGACATCCCTGCCTTAAAATGGCTTCTTTTAACAAAATTAAAAACACAACAAAACCTGAGGGACTGTTGTCCTAAAGATGAGCTGATGGTAGTCAGCCAGTCGAGCAGACGGTTTTATCAGAAGAACAAAAGGGAGATGATGATGATGATGATGATGAAAGTGGGAACCGTTGCCAGTTTGGTGCTTGGACGGCGTGGAGCGAGCGGCGCAGGGTTTTTGTACGGAGCTTGATCCTCCTCCCTTTTAACCTAATTGTTCTGAGGCCCGTGTGTGATAGTGAGTGGAGTTTATTGTGCCATTCCACCCTGGCTTTCTGTTCGACATCACTGTTCCTTCTATGCAAAAATATGACCTATTTTAGCCTTTGTACAGATTATTTTGTATGAGTAACATGTACTGAAATAAAGTGAACAGAATCAACCATGGATACTTTATTTTCCCCTCCCTGGTTGTTATTACAGCATTTTTCTTCTTCTTTTTTTTTTTATCCTCTTCATCCACCAGCAGAATTCATTTCATTAACCTGAATTGAGAAGGCTTTCATACTGATGAGACTGTTTAGTTTGTCCCCACACAGCATTGCCGAGCTTGTTAACCTGCGGTGGAGGTGATTTGCAGGTTGTTTGAGCTGCTATCTGTTCTCAATCTGTCGTGTTTTTCCGAGTAAACCCGCCATCCTTTCAACTGCACGGCAGCGAGGTTTCTTGACTTGACTACGCACGCAAAATCAGCATGATTAATGCCGCTGCAGGCGTACTGAAGCTTCCTCCCATTTGTTCTTACAGCCTCGGTTAGCTCGGCAAGTCTACAGCAGCAGGAGAAAGTTTGAGACGCCTGCTCATTGAAGGGCTTTCTCTGAAGACATCAAAACTTTAAATTACTGAAGCACATATGGAATTAAGTAGTAAAAAAAAAAAAGCAAAAGGTTTAAAATGATCGCACATTATTGGCAGTATCGTAGCCAGCTTTATTAGGTAGTTACCGGAAATGGTTTCCGGTTAATGAGCCCACCTTGTTGGAAATTAATTAGTGGGATTTTCAGTGGCTCTGAGGTAGGATCGGTATACAAGAGCCCCGTTCGACTTCTGCAGGAATCCAAATTATGGCTCGGCTCAGCAAAAGCAGCAACAGTCTATTACTTAAAGAGAATGAAGGTCAGTGAATCCGGAAACTTTCAACAACCTTCATCAAGCGCTGTAATGAAACGGGCTCTCATGAGGACCACCTCAGGAAAAGAAGCCCAAGCATTAGCCCGCTGCAGAGAACTTCATTAGAGGTACCAGTCTCAGAAATCACCAATTAACGGCGCCTCAGATTAGAGCCCACATCAGTGCTTCCCAGAGTAGCAGACACATCTCAACACCAACTGTTCGGAGGAGTCTGCGCGAAACTGGGGCCTTCATGGTCGGATTGCTTCGGAGAAACCCCTACTGAGAGACTAATAAGGAGGAGAGAGCTGCTCGGGCCAAGAAACACAATTAACGGACATTAGAAAAGTGGAAGTCTGTACTTTAAAAGTTCTGCTTCCAGTTTCTTTGTGAGACAGAGAAGAGGAATAGATGATGTCTGCATGTGAAGCGCTGAGGGAAGGAGTGATGATGGTGCAGAGGGGCTCTGCTGCCGACACTGTTGCTGATTTATTCGCAATTCGAGGCAACACGTAGCCGGCACGGCTATCACAACATTCTGCAGCTACACGTCATACCATCTGGTTTGCGCTTAGCGGAACCATCATTTGTTTTTTGACACGACGGCGAGCCAAGAAGCACCTCCAGGCTGTGTCAGAGATGTGTGAGTGGGACGGACGGTGATGGAGTGCTGCGTCAGATGACCCGACCTCCACAATCAGCCGACGTAAACCCACGTCAGGTGGTTTGGGACCGGAACGTGTGAGGACTCATTTAAGGCTGTTGGAATGTCATACTTCATAAAGCTGATAGTCTGCTGGTGTTTTACTACCTAGTTTCATGATATATTATAGCTTTGATGTCTTCAGAATTATTTCTATAATGTTAAACACCGGACAAGCAAAGAACACCTCCTAATTAGGTCCATGTGTCCAAACCTCTGAACATCCTGCCTGGAGCGGACAAGGTTTTCTTTTTATGCTGATTGTACAAACTTCCTCAAATTTAAAGATTAAAAATAAGAAATCTACACTTATAATGTATATTACATTTCAGGGCATGTATTTATTTGCCTTCTGGAGCTCAGTGAGGAAACACCACCACTAACATGAAGCTAGTAGAACGTTATAGACGTGGAAACGTGGCGTTGTCGTAACCTCTGGGGCTGAAAAATGAGGCTAACACAGCAGTGCCAAAAAGAACATGCAGTTTCTCAAAATGACCACTAGAGGCTAATTTCAAAAGCAAGTAATTCCTGACAGACCCCCGTGTCAAAATGCCCTACTTCTAAACATGTTTACAGCCGGGTAGAAAAGAAGATGTTGGTCTCTGTAGCTAAAATCCTGCTCATAGCAGCAGTACGGGGAGTGGATGTCTGTGTAACCCAGCTGGTTAAGTTGTATTTAGGGTTAAGGCGATGCTTCATTAAGGGAGACATCCTGCTCCTTTTAGGCAGAGCCAGACACTACAAACAGGACCAGAGCCGCCACACTAAGGTTCCAAGTCACATACATTGACTTTTCACTTTCAGTACATGCTGCAGCTGCAGTCGTGACTCGATAATCCGACACTAAATGTAAAAAAACCTTCTTCTATGTCAGATAGCAAGGCTGTCGGATTGTCAAGACGGAGGTCCAGATACGAGGAGGGCTTGATGCTGGAAGTCTCATTAGTTGTTCATTATTGTTCATAGTTGTTATAATAATGTGTTGTTAGAACACTACACATCGCTGGATTGACCGACCACTTCCACCCCGGGGCAGCGCTCTGACGGGGTGGAAGTGTCCAGAACACACAGGCAGTACTTGGCTGCTGATGCTAGTTTAGTTAGCGCTCACACTTCTGTTTCCTCCATCGGTGGCGGCGGGGGAGTGGCAGATACGCTCCACCGTTACCATCCATGTTTACTTCCATAAACACTGAGCACGCTCGCTGCGTGTGACGTCGTCGTGTCCTCTTCTGCGCATGCGGGACACTTTTGGGTCGTATGAAGTTCACACAGCAGATCACATACAAGTCGCATTGAAGTGGAAACGTGAAGGAAGTCACAAAGAAATCCTCATTGAGCATCAAGTCCTGCAGTGTGAACGTAGCCAATCTGTGGGATTGTTCAGTCAGATAATACGCCGTCATCCTGATTGGTGACATTAAATGTCATGTCGGAGTCACAATCCAAGGCTGTCGCTATGTTAAGGCTGTTTTTATGGGTTAAAACCTGTCAGATAGCAGGTTTAGGATGGTTAAGGGTCGATTATTGAGTCACGACTGTACTCTTGTATATTTCGTTCTGTTGCGTGCCGTCTGCTTTCAACTGGGACACACTACTGGGACCTTCTTATATCCATCACAGTCTGTGGTGCTAAATGAGCCGACTTCTTAGCGTGCAGCTCGAGCCTTTTCACACAGTGATGTATGCTTACATATCTTCCTCTGTGCAAAGGATTGTGGGTCCAGGAACGCACGCTGGTTTACGCACTTCAAAAGGATGTAGTCAGAAACCCTGGTATTTATGACACCCTGCATTTGACATACTGAGCAGTAAATCTTGTTTTCTGGCGTTCTACACAATACGGTTGTTGAAGCGCACCTAATGGAGACGGTGCTAAGGGTTCCTCCATCTGTATTTACAGTCAAATTAACCTGTTAAATTTCCTGTGATTAATCTTCACCAAAGCCGAACTGTGAAACTACAGTAGTGATGGTTTCAGTGGGATTAGCTTCACATTACAACACATTGTTTTTACACTTCCCCTCCTTTCATGTCCTCGAGCTGGCAGGAGCTTCGTGGTTATTGTTCAGACACGACGGCAGCATCAATCTTTTCATGTGAGTCTCAGCAGGAATCCAAAAATATACGATTCCTTTAACAATGCAAAAGGTAAAACAAAACGCTGCATAATTAGGGAGGGTAAACTCCTCCAAATGAAGGAGCTGGGGACTGAAAACCCAGTTTTATCCCAGCTAAAAAAAAACGACAGACCAATCTCATTAAGTCTTCCTGTTGCTTTGGAGCAGCGCTGCGATACCTGAGGGACCTCGTGTCCTTCTGTCACTCCACAGGAGACACTTGATGTAACGATAAAAAAATAAATCAACCCTGTGATTAAGTATTCACATACAGTGCTTCTACTGCCAAGGACAGTTCAGGCTACATTTCTGAATTATGAGCCAGAGATTGAAATTCAATCCAGCAGTAGTGAATCTTTTATACATTTACATTAACTTTATCGCCGTGTTTCAGGACTGTATTCTGAGATGGATCCCTCCGGTCACTCTGACACGTGATTTATTGCTGCCAGTCGATTATCAGCAAAGTTTTACATCCAAACCTCAGAGCAGAATAGGTGGCCGGACGAGTTTTTGCTCCATGATTCATTTGATCATTTTACTGAAACTCAGCAGATTCCCCCTGAAGCGCAAGTGGACACAGCGCAGCGGAAACACGGCGACAAAACGCCTGATGTAACCGCATTAGATGTTCTTCCTGTAGCAGATGTCATGGTCCGGCCTTTGTCAACTGTCATTCTGCTTTACTCTGTACAGAGCTGCATCTGTCTCTGAACACGAGCCTTTCACAAGCAATAAATATTAAACATGTGGGCAATATGCTTGTAGGAATATAATGCAGGATTTAGGAACTTTGACATAACCGGGAAAGACAAGACGCAGAGTGCACGGAGGTGAATCCACAAACTAGCAGCAGGCTGACAATACGCCGGCTGCTCGTCGGCCTTTCAGCTGCAGTCAGCCAGAGATATTTTTTGTGTAAACTGACCTGTCAGCCTACGTGGACAGTTCTGGGTCCTACCAGCAAGGCGGTGCTGGTGTCACAGACCCGTGCCCCACAGCCTGCACACAGCCCCCTCCTCACAGACTCGCATGGCGGCCGAGTATCTGCAGGGTGGGGTCGGAACCGGGGTCGGTGTGGAGCAAAACCAGCCGTAGCTTTACGTGTGGGACTGTGAAAAGCAACATCAAACAATGGACAGGAAACTGAATCTGAACCGAGCGGAGACGTTCTCCTTCGTCAACCCCTGGATCCGATACTTTCTCTTCTTCTTCAGCTTCTTGTTTTGGGTGAGTAGAGTGCTGACAGAAATCACAGCTGCTCCGTCGTCCCAGGACGCCGCATACTCACAACGTTCCTGAGCATACAAATCACCAGCTATCAGGGACTTGTACATTTTGAAAAAGGCAGATGTGCTAGAAAGAGAAACAAAAGAAAAAGCTTATGAATAATAAATGAAGAAATATAATTCTGCTACAATCCAGAGCAGCGAACAGCAGGAGCGCC